AACGCAAACATATATGTACAGAGTGAAAATCACTGTTGTGTTGGTATTTCTCTTCTCCCCATTTTGCTCGTAGACTTGGCAACTGTGCGTGCGCCAACAGAGAGAAACGTACCTCCTCTTCGTGCAACGTCGCACTGGGTGACGCGAGAACTTCCCCGGACCTCAACCTGGGGTTCTCTGGGCACTCAATACAAACCTAGTGTACGTGGTAGTCATTGCCTGTCGCATTATTACTACGTACCCATCATTTCCCGCTGAATCAGGTGGAGTTACAGGTATCCCGAAGAATTTATGAATATCAATTAAACCAACTGATCTTCATTGATAAGAAATAAATGAAAGGAACAGTTTATCAGGCCCATAGCAGACGATCAATTTATATAGCCTTCCACATCTTGTGACGTTACAGGAAATCGTTGGAGGGGATTTTCGATGGGTAGGAAGGGAGACAGGATAATTCTCCATATTATTTTATAAGAAAAAATTACTGAAAAAATGGATTGCGATCCGAATTTCCAGCTGGGACTTTTCGTTGTGCGTCGGGGATTTTGGTAAGTGAGATATTCGGGTTTTAGATGTTTCTTCATTTCAGATTTTTTGGGAATTTTGAGATTTAATTTGTGAGGGGGGGTAGTTGATGATTGTTCAATATCTTGATACGATGATTGCCGGTCATCAGCGGGGCCTCATCAGGCCTTTTTTTAGATTGTAGATCATTACATTAGGATTGGGACGGGTGTATTGATTGCCACCTGGGCAATGGGTATTCACGGAAATTTTTATTTGAATGAGTCATTGGAGAAGTTGTCGACGTTATGGTCTTCGGTGAATGACCGATATTGAAGGAATTTAGAGGGCGGATAGTTTAACATAAAGATTATTTTTTGTGATGACCTTGAAATGACTTATCAGTCATCGGTCTCTTTCCACGGTTCGTCTGCACGGCCATTAGCTTGTCTCAGAAATTGTCTGTTAATTTTTTAATTGCAGAGAATTCCTCACCGATTTTTCCGATAAACCGGTGGAATTGAGGATCTCCTTAAACTCCAGAATTTTCCTCTGAGTGAAGAAATGCTCAAGGAAACACGAGGGGAAATCCCAGATTCCGTTTGATATAAAGAAACTCATTTTGTTTCGTTAGATGGAGACGTGCCGAGAAGGAAGAAACTTTCGAGGGGGAAAAATTTATTTCCCGAATTTTCGTCGAGATAAAAGGGTTTCTCTGGCGTTTTGAATTGTAAATTCGTCCGGATAGACAGCGGTTTTTCTCCCCTTCAGTCTCAAGATGCCTGTGATACCTCGACAGAATAAATGCTCAACTAAAATTTGAGTAATGAAAATATTTAGCCTGTGAATACAACTGATTGAGTGCACCAATGGAGAATAAAAAATATAACTGCCAACATTATCCCAATAATTTGGGACTTTTTCAACCCAAAAATTGCATCTCCACTCGGCAAAAAGTATTTCATTAGTCATCCCTAATAAATCCCACCGGACCATAAACCGAAACAACCTACTAAACCGAAACACCAACAAAATACCAAAATCTTTCCACCCACGTTTCGTCGTAAACCCCTCGAAAATAATCTTCACCTCTGGTTTTATCGAAGCGTTAACGCAAATTCACGCACTTTCCATTCACATGAATGCTGCGAAATGAAGGAGAGAGTGGGTTGTAGGGAGGATTTGGGGGGAGGGGGGGGAGGAGGGGGTAAAGAATTAATTACAAGTCGAGGATTAACCGACTGCCGTCTGGTTGTGTATATAAGGCCAAAGCTTCGGCCCTGGTTATATTCTCTGTCGCTTTCACGAAAACACACAATCCCGTGAGCGCAACGACGACGACAACTTGTTGGACATTGGCACCAAAGTTGTACTGAGAAAAGAGAGAGAGGGGAAGGGGATCAAATAGGTGATTGCGGTTGAGTGAATCGTGTGAACTTTCCGCTGAATGAAAATAAAAATTATTTTTCAACACCTTTTTTTTAATCATTCAATGCTTCTCGTATTTTTTGGAGAATATTTTTGTAAATTATATTAGATATAATTTTTGGGGATTGAAATAATATGTTCCAAAATATATAAC